ATATATATATATATATACACACACACACACATATGTTTATATATAAACATAACACAGTCATATATATATGTATATATATATACATATATATATATATGTATGATTAGAGGGGAAAGAAAAAGGAAAAAATTAAAGAGGCATAAGTAAGTATGGTAACAATGTATTTTTAAAAATTCTCCTTATGAAACCCATCACCATACGCAATGAATAGATGCCATTAAAAAAAAAAGGGGGCAGTAGTATCTTGAAATAGATCAAGGAAGTTTCAAGGAACCACTACCCCGGAAGTTCCTAACTGAATATGTTGGAGTTAAACATTATCCTCTGGTTAATGATAATCTTGTTTGAAGTGAACAGAGCAGTAAATGAATTCAGAGTGATAACCTGAATCCATTCACTTAGGCTTCGTTCTATCATCAGACTTGTAAGCTTTACCATGTAGCCAGCAAACCCTCAGCACCACTGGGGATTATGGAGATCCAGGCACGCCAAACGGAAGGGCCAGCCTTAGTACGTCACTGTGGCAGTAGTTAGCACCCCTGGCTGCCTCAGATGCCCACACTACCAGGAATCATCTGGCCCCATCTCTGAATCTTTATATCACTTTGCCCCAGCTTCCTGATAGCTCAGGTCATGACCCAGTGCCAGGCCCCTGCTCCCAGCTGCAGGTTGCTCAGAAGGACTTTGGCCCAAGTCACTTTCCCAAGTGAGGTGGCCTCTCACTTCCGCCAAAACATAAAAATGAAAGGTTCTCTACAAAGGAGATGGGAGCTCAGAGAGATGGGGAGCAAATGCTCACTATGGTCCTGTTTGTAATCCTCTCTCTAAAGTGCCTAGCATGCTGCTGCCATGAAGTGAACATGCTAAGCCAACACCTAGTACTGCGGTTTCTATTCATTCTTTGAGGCAGGCAGAGTGTCAACCTTCAGGGTTGCCGCCTTTCTTCCTTTCTTTCTTTCTCTCCTCCTCCTCCTTTGTTTTTGAGGCAGGGTCTCTCTACCTAGACCTGGCTGCTGCATGTCCTGAAACTAATTATGTAGAACAGGTTGGCCTCAAGCTCACAGAGATCTGCTTGCCTCTGCCTCCTGAGTGCTGGGATGAAAGGTATGTACCACTATACCTGATAATTCTGTCTTCTTTAAGTTATATTTTTAACTGTATTTATTTTGCACGTGGAGTTTGTGGTTAAGTGTCATGGTGTGGGTGTGGAAGTCAGAGAACAATGTGTGAGAACGTTCCCTCCTTCTGCCATGTAGGTCCTGGAGTCCGAACTCAAGTCATTAGATTCAGCACAGGCCCCTTTCCCCACTGAGCCACCTCTCTGGCCCTTGCCCGGTCTTTTGCTTTGAGATAGTCTCATTATGTTGCTGAGGCCGGCCTGGAGTTCCCCGGCTCCAACTATCCTCTTGCCCTCAAGCAGCTGGAACCGCAGGTGAACACCACTGCACCTAGACAACGGAACTCCAGCTCAGTATTGAGGGTTGGATACAGCCTCTCAGCAGAGTAGAGTATGCGCTTCGGATGCATGAGGCTTTGGGTTTGAGGGCCCTTCGGAAAGAATAAAACAAACTCAATATTTGGAAGTGTCATTAAAGGGGGAAACTCAAACACAGAAAAAAAAAATGAAAACCCTTTTAAGCAAATGCTAATAACATTTGCTAAATATAACCAACATCAAGGCTGCACAAATGGGTGCTCTGAAAGTTAAAGAAAAGAAAAACTATTGTGTCAGAAATTAGGACAGAGACAACTGAAGATTTTTGTCAGAGATGGAGTCTCACAACATAAGTCAATGTTGCTCCAGACAAGCTTTGAAATTGTTGCAATCCTCCTACTTTAGGCTCCCAGCTTTGAGCCAATGTGGCTGGATTTTGAGTTTTGGGAGACAAAATGTTCCAGCAACTTTGACTGGGGTTGATTGGGGATTACGAAGGTTCCATATGGCTGTCAGTCGTGAGGTTACACTACCTGAAAGGTATCGAAGATAAAACATAGGGTATTTGTTGAAGTCTAACTTTGACTTTATTCATGCCAGTGATGGCTGGAACAGAAGAAGTGGCAATGGGGTTTTTAGAGGGAGTGAGAGATTGGGCTCTGCACTGAACTCACTGCAAGGGGGAACTAACAGCCAAGACTGAGATGAGGTCAGTAGAGAGAGAATGACTAGAGACAACATCGGGGGAAGGAGATATTAGCTGAGGGCATGTCAGGGGATCAGACAACAGTGAAGGGATGGTGAAGACCGAGACCTTGAGGCAAAGCTTCTTGCTGAAGGATTCAGCAGGATTCTTGCCAAAACCTTATTTTATAAGGAAGTACACATTTGGGTGTAGGAGGCATTTTAGAAGACAAGTGTGGTCAAGCAAACTTGTTTTTTTGCTGATGGTACAAGGACATGGTAAGGGGGTGATGTAATCAGATTTTAGAGGAGGTAACTCTGGGAAGGGAGGGGAGGATGAGACAGAACAAGCAGAAACAACATCAGGAGTTCACATACAAGAAAGCAATGACCCATCCCAAGATACAATGAGGTATCAACTTGTGCATAATTTATGATATCGACTGAACTGGATTTGGTGACTCTGAAAGTGCAGGAAGAGAAGGTGCCCTGGATGACATCATCCTACAGCTTCTGGGTAAAGGGAGGAGAGGCTGTCATCAGTGTTAGTCAGGTAGTTAGAACAGAAAGACACTGAGTTTCTGTATCACACCTGCAGGGGCTCTGCCTGAGTTACTCCAGGAGTTTGCAACACACAGGATGATCCTTTACATACCTGTAATATGATTTTTTGTGTGTTTTACACACACACGCACACATACAAAAAGTATTAAATTTCGCATATGGTTGAGAAGGCGCAGTTCATGGAGTTCCCACCTATGATATGAAAAAGATCTGTAGAGCTCAGGTTAGGAATTCCTGAGTTGTAAGTCAAGTGGGCTTAGTGGAAAAGGCACTTGTGATCAAGCCTGAGATGAGTTTGAGAGAGAAACAGCTCCTACAAGTCATTCTCTGATTTTCCCATGTGCACAGACACACACACACACACAAACACACACACACACACACACACACACACACGAATAAACAAATGTCAAAACCAAACCAAACACCCCTCAACAACCCACAAATAATAGAATTCCTGGGGTAGCCTCAAAACCCCTAAGCTGGGGATACAGCATGGTTGGTAGAGTACCTGCCTAACAGGCACCAGGCTCTGGGGTTGATCCCCAGCAGTGCAGAAAACAGTGTCTATGATCTCAGCACTATAGGAGATAGAGGGCAGAAGGAGAAATTCAAAGTCCCCAGAGTGGTTATATACCTCTATGAAATTGCCAAAGAACTAACTGAATTTTAAAAAGAAAGTTCATCCTCGGCTACAAACGAGTTCCAGGCTTGCCTGTGATATATGAGACCCCGTCTAAAACAGGAGATGAGGGTAGGAGGTGGGCACAGGGGGTGGGGAAGGCCAAAGCGAGCTTAAGACATGTAAATATGGAATGAGTTTGGGTCACAAAGACAGTGATTTGACGACAGCATATGCGGTTTCCAGAATTGTCATCTGTTCATGCTTCCATTCTTCTATTCAATAATAATACTAATGGTAGGTACTATTTATTTATTTAGTACTAAGTACTTTACCACTGAGTTATATCTCGGGCCCTGTAGGCACTAGTTAATGGGAAAGCTACTGTGCTTGACACTAGGAATGGAAAGAATAGTCGACTGTCTCCTCAGAGAGTGTACAGTCCAACTAGAGAATACACGTAAGTAGACATAGATAGAAGTAACGCAATATGTGTTGTGTGAGATATGTGTACTGTGAACGTAAAAGATGGGGAAAGAACTGAATCATGCCTAGGACCTACCACCAGGGGGGGTTAGGGCGAATCCTTGGAGAAGACAAGCAGGCTTTGTTCTGAAGGGATAATTGGGTTTAGCCTGGCTGTGCTCCAGTGTAGTAAATGGCATAGAGTGTGTGTTTGGGGACACAAAAGCCCTTCAGAATGACTTGCACGTAAAGGACAAGACACGGAGGAAGGCTGTGGGTAGAAATGAGATTGGACATCTGAGCACGGAGAAGAAGGAGATTCCCAGGGCAGAAGCCTGGTGGCTCAGCTGTGGACTTGAGCACACTGGGGGGATCACATGACCAGTAAAAAGGCTTAACAAACAAACAAACAAACAAACAAACAAAAAAAACCCAAAAAACAATAATAGAAATCCACCGTCACACAAGAACAACCAGTTTTGTGAAAGGTGGTTAGATCCAGGATCTTATACAGTGTTTTAGGACTGTGAAAACCCAGTTGTGGTGGGCTTGCCTTCAACCCACAGATCCACCCTCCACGCATGCAAGAGTCCAAGAAAAGGCATCTTAAGGGGGTTGGAGTTTCTCTTGATGGATTTTTAAATCTGGACTGGTGGCTATGATTATGTAAGATCTGCAATGATGATGCCCCCCTCCCCCCCCAAAAGATGATATTAGCAGGTAGAAAGAAGAACTGGGCAGAGAGATATGAAACTAGAAACAACTAAAGGGTAACCTAGGGAGGAAAAGACACATGGACATCATTAGTCACAAAAAAAAAAAAAAAAAAAAAAAAACTGTAAATAAAATAAATTTTACTGGCTTTTTTTTTTTTTTTAATCATTCTCATGTTAAATTCAAACTTAAGTAGAGGAGGTAAACAAAATACATAGTGATCTTCATTTTTTTTTCCTCAAAAGAGATGTATTATTTTTTATTTTATGTGTAGGGTGCTGTGCTGGTATGTGTGCCTGTGTAGCAGACACCAGACCTACAGACATGCAGACATGCAGTGCCTGTGGAGGCCAGAATAGGGTTTAAGATTGCCCCTGGAACTGAGTTAAAGATCATTGTTAGCCACCCATAACGTTTGAGCCATCTCTCCAGCCCCGTGATCTTCATTTTAAAAAGCAACCGTCCCTGTTTCTGTCATGCACAGGTGTATGGAGCCACGTGTGACTGCAATGTGCTTAGAAGGGGCAGAGGACTATGCTAGGTGCTGTCTGAGTCTGACCTCTCAGTCCATCATCAAGGGAGGACAGTGCAGGGACTGCGCAGGAACTGGAAGGCTGCTGCAGAGGTCGTGGAGAATGCCCGTATCTACTAGTGTTTTCACTGTGACCTGTTCATGTTGCTTTCTCATATTCCCTTGGGCCACCAGTCAAGGAATGGCATTTTCTGCAGTGGACTGGGCCCTTCCCCGTCAATCATCAATCAAGAAAATGTCCCATAGGCTTGCCTACAAGCCAACCTGAATGGAGGATTTTCTTAATTGAAGTTCCCTCTTAGATGACTCTTGCTTGCATGAAGTTGCCAGAAAACTAATCAACGTAGGTATCTTCTTTTTTAAAAAAATTATTTATTTATTTATCATGTATACAGTGTTCTGCCTGCATGTACACCTGCACGCCAGAAGGTGACACCAGATCTCACTATAGATGGTTGTGAGCCACCATATGGTTGCTGGGAATTGAACTCGGGGTTTTTGGAAGAGCAGCTAGTGCTCTTAACCTCTGAGCCATCTCTCCAGAGGGTCTCATTGAATCTGGAGCTCACCATTTTTGTTAGTGTGGCTGGCCAGTGAGCCCAAGGGTCCCACTTGCCTCTACCCTCTCTCACCCCAGCACCGGGGTTATAGAAACAAGCTCTGCCTCCTGTTTTAGTTCATTCTACCGCCTTTTATATAGTTGAGATTTATCTCTGAGCAATCTGGAGCTGGATTTCTGTGATTGCTGTGAATTACTTCCCTTTTTGGACTTTCTTCCTCTTTTTTAGCTTCCCTACTTTTACTTACTGTCTTATGAGCTTGAAATGGGCTTAGTGGAAGGTAGCGTCTTCCTCAAGCCAACTGTGGAGTCTCTGGATGTCTGATCCTCCCCCAAAGCCTCTCACGCTAGGCAAGTAAGTTACAGGCCAGCTCTCTTTTTGAAGCAGGGTATAACTAACTGACCAGGCTGGTCTTGAACTTGCAGTCTCCTGAGTAGCTAGAATCCCAAGCACGAGTCACCAGGCCCAGTTTGAATTTCCGAAACTTGTCTCCTCTAAGACTCTTCCAGACAGCACCCCGTGCGTGGTCAGAGGACAATTTGAGGAGTTGGCTCTCTTCCTGGCTGAACCATCTTGCCACCTCCTTATTTTGTTTTCTCGGGAGCTTCTTTTCCCTGTAAAGGTGATGTTTGTCCTCAAATTTGTATATGAATGTAACATTTAACTTTAAAAGATAACTCATATGTGACCTTATAAAGACAGTAAAGTTAAACAGCCGGAAAGACAAGGCTGGGCACTTGGCTCAGTCCTATAAAACCAGTCCAAAAGGATTATCACTATTTCCAGGCTAGTGCAGGCTACATGGCGAGTTCCAGGACAGCCTGGTTACATACACACCGAGACTCTCAAGAGTCCAAATAAACCACCACAAGAGGGGCGTGGTGGAAAGACAGTGGCTGTAAGAAATACCACATCGGCAAAGGGAGGCCAGTCAGGGAAGAAAAAAACTTTCTTCGGCGGTCCAGTCTCCAAGGGCCGAAAAGGAAGTTGACACAAGCAGGTGGGAAGCTGCGTGGGGACCGCAGTCTGGCTTCCTGGCCATGTCACCCTGAGCCTCGCACGCGAGTCCCTCGGCAATACGCCTGTCCTACTGTCCACTTTCCTCCAGCTGACTTTCGGCTGTGCAGCTAGACCCACAGGACTCTCTGTGCGGGATTGGAAACAGCTACCACCGCAACGAAGAGAACGTCTTGTGGGGCCACCAGCAGCGGGCACGCAGCAGAGACGCGGAGCTGTGCTCTGCCCTCCGTTCCTCCCAGACCCCCGAGGCCCCGCCCATCCCAGGCCTCACGCCATTAAGCCCCGCCCCTTCCCAGCACCCATTCGACCCTCCCACGCCCCGAGGCCCCGTCCCATTCGGCCCGCCCCGCCCCACGACTTGAGGCCTCGTCCCGCCGATCCTTCCCTGCAGAGACGGAACGCCTTCCAAGTCTTCCCTACCCTGCTCCCTTGGGCCCCGCCCCTCTCGGCCCGCGTGCCTCACGGCCCCGCCCCTTAGGCTGCTCCGCCCCTTGCCAGTGAAGAGCCGCCTTTTCCCAGCCGCCCCGCCCCGCGCCCGCGAAGTCCCGCCCCCGGCCCCGCCTCCAGCCCTGGCCCCGCCTCCCGCTCCCGGCCCCGCCTCCCGCCCCCGGCCCCGCCTCCCGCCCCCTTGGGCGCTCCGTAGCAGTGACGTGCGCGGCAGGCTGGGCACTCAGCGGGGCTCTGGAGCCGGCGGGCGGAGACCAATCCGGGATCTGTCCCAGCAGGAAGCGAATCCCGGGCGCCGTCGTCTCCGGAGCTCGCTCTCGGCGTCGCGCTCTCCCTTGGCGCCCGCAGCCCGGCATCCCTTCCACCGCCGCGACCCCTCGCGCAGGGTGAGTGTGGGCGCCTGCCCGCCCGCCGGTCCTCGCCCCCTTGGCCTCTGCCCGGCGCGGACCCGAGCCCTGGCTTCCCGGTCCCCGGGCCGGCGGGGAGCCTGTCACCTGACGCTGCTGCGTCCCTGGTCCCCGGAGTCCCACCCGACACTGCGAGGTGGTTTTAGTTTCCCCTTTGGAAGCACAGTGAAAATTCCACACAGACTAGTTTGTTGTCAGGAGATCAAGTGATGCCATTAATAATTTAGCCGTGGTGGCATTCTACAAAGCTGGAATTTTAGTCCTTCAAGCGATCTAGTATCTGGAGTGTGAGCTTTACGGATGTGGTGATGAAAAATAACTTCGTTATTTAATTCCAAAACGCCTTGAACTAAAACTTGCTGGCTCTGGATGGTATTTTTGAATAGGAAATAATTTGATAAAAGCCATTCTTAGATAATCTGTGTCAGGAATTTTTACACAGAGTTACATTTTATCTGGCATAAAGTATGTAGGGCAGGGATATGTGGAGCTATTTTGAGGACGCTACACCAGCGCTGCTCCGATTTCCTATGCGTTGAATGAAACTTTCGTTTGCTCTCGTGGTACGGTTGCAGGGTGTTGGGATATAGTCAGCCTGAGGCTTTTAACAGCCCTTGAGGCTCAGCTGTAACTATCTGCTCGCTATAAAATACGAGTCTCGGGTTTGGTGGTGGTCATGGTACAAAGGTTGGCAGCGGAACAGCAGCAGTTCTGTACAAATTAACTCAACTTCGAGACGCCTTGGCTTGTGGTTTTCCAACTGGGAAATGTTTAGTGAAAAAAAAGTTACCGTAGTGCTCTAGCATTAATTTTAGAAATAGCCACAAGTTACAAGGGGGGGGGGGGCAGAGGAAGAGACAGAAACAATGCAGCTCTTCAGAACGGCTCATTGACTTTTAAATGTCTGTTCATTTTTGGTGTTTGCTGTTGCCCAGGAGTAAACACGCACCGTGGTAAACAGAAGTCGTTTTAGTCTGATGCTCATCTGCCGGTAGTTTTTTTATTATTTGATTTTGATCTGTTACCTATTTTCCTCTTCCTTTTAAGTTTTGTATTTGTTTTCAAAAAGTTACTTGTAAAAGACAGGGACAGAATACTGCCATTAAGAAAAGATTATCGTGATTAAATGTACAGTTAAAAAGCTGTGTAGTATAGAATTTACATACGGTCTTTGGTACCTAGACACATGATCAAGAAAAGTGAACAACTATGGTATTTAATGGAAACAACAATACATTAAAAGCAAAGATGGTAAATTATAGTCCATGGGGTCTTATCTGAAAGGGATTTTCCCCTGTTTACACGATCAAGTTTTAAAATAACACTGGCCAGGAAATCTGAGAGAGGCCAAAGGCTCCTCTCTCATCCTGTTGTGACTTTGCCTGGAGTCTGTGGTGGATCATTTATTGTTTAGACAACTGGTCTGTATCTGGGGTTTGAAAAGCCTTTAGACAGTTTTAAAGATTTCCACCATGCAAGGTCTGAATAAACAAATAAGCACTCCCCATTAAAAATAATTCACTAGTTTTTAACTTTCTCTTGGTAGTCAGTGCTCCACTTACCATACATAAAATGCTAGTGTAAAAAAGTCAGGTTTGGGAGTGTAATTCAGTGTGTAGCACTCTTGCCTGGTATATGCGAGGCTCAGGGTACTAAAATTTTCTTTTCTTTTTTTCTTCTGTATTAAAACATCTTATTTAAACCTAAAAGTTTGGAAAAAGTACATTTTGAATAAATCTCACACAGTTTAATGGTGATTCCCAGAAAGAGATACTTTATAACAGTTTGTGAACTGGCAATTTAGTAGCGGTGTAACACACACACAAACTGAAGGTTTGAATTACAAAATAATTTTCTAGGTTGATGGTCTTGTCCTTCATGGAGGAGAGACCAAAGGCTCAGAGAATGAAATACTTTTATGTAGCTTTGGCGGGGCAAAGTCCAGACTCTAAATACTCATGGGAGTCTTTCGGCAGCACAGCCCCTCTCTTCCTGCTTTCACTGGAAAATGCCTTGATTTTGTTCACTTGGGGAACTATTGGGAGACCATTGTAGAACTGGTCTGAAAATTGGAAGCTGGTACCCTGGATAAGCTGTGATAGGCCATGCATGGAGTCTAGAACTAATTGAGAATTCTATGTCTTTTCTATGTCTTCCTTCTCAAGGTCTTGAGCAGTGACCCCAATGCTGTGACATCATTTCTGGTGTGGTTCCAGCTTGTAATAATTGTTATGTGCTTTTCGTTTTGATGGGTTTATAGGAATTAATGCTGCAATCTAATCCTGGATTGATTCCACTGTAGCCAAGCAGTATATGATGTTTCTGTTTAAAACTTCAGTTTTGTTTTTTGTTTTTCCTTCACGTGAGCAAGATTGTTGCTCCTATACAGTAGCTGTCTCTTAAATGTTATTCAGTTAACTGTAGTCTTAGGAGGGAAATATGCTTCAAGATTAAGATATCCAGGCCTGTGAGATGCTCAGCAGGTAAAATCACTTGTCTGGAACCCTGATGAGTTGGCTTTGATCCCTGGGTCTTAAGAGAAATGACTTCTATGAATTATCCTCTGACTGCCACACATATTCCTTGGCACATAGCCACAAACAGATAATTGTAATTCATGGAATAACAATAATAAAGATTAAGGCATCCTCCTACCTGCACCTTCTGAGTGCTGGGATTATAGGCTTGCAGCTCTGCCCTTGCTTATGGGATCCTGGGATCAAACCTCATTTTGTGCTAGGCAGGCAGTTCATCAGGGGAACTACATCTTTAGCCCAATATCATGTATTTATTTATTTACTTATCTATGTATTTATTTTTGTGTGTGTATAGTTTTTGTATGGACACACAAGGCATAGCTGTGAAAGTTAGAGGACAGTTTTGTGGAGTCAGTTTTGGTCAAATTTAGATCATCGTGTTTGCTTGACAAGTTGTTTTTTTTTTTTTTTTTTTTTTTTTTACCTGCTTAGCCATCTTGCTACCCCACCCCGGCCCCAGACCTTTTTGAGATAAGGTCTCACTATGTAGCCCAGACTGGTGTGAAATTCGCTATGTAGACAGAACTGACTATCCTCTAACTCACAGGGATACACTTACCCGTGCTTTCTGTGTACTGGAATTAAAGGTGTATACCACCACACCCAGCTTATACAATGTCTTTTGATCAAAATGGCTCATGGCCTTTAAAAGGAAATTTACTTTATTATTTATTTGTGTGTGTGCGAGTGTGTGTGTGTGTGTGTGTGTGTGTGTGTGTGTGTGTGTGTGTGAACATAAATATGGGTGCCTACAGAGGTCAGAAAAGAGTATCACACCTCATGGACCTAGGCTAGGGGTGGTTGTGAGGTGCCTGACTTAGGTGCTAGGAACCAAACTTGGATCCCCTGGAAGAATAGCAAGTATCCTTAATCTCTGAGCCATCTCTCTAGCTCCCCAAATATTTTTTTTCCTTTTTTCTTTTTTTATACACAGCTCAAGCTTCAAGAGTATCCCTTGAGCTGTAATAGACCTAAAGGAATGAAATGGCAGAGGTTTTTTTTGCTAGCTATGTAGAAAAACACAGAGAAGGCTGAGCTGGGGTTACCTGTATGGAAATTTTTCATTTTGGAACTGCTACCAATTTGCATCCAAGGATACTTATATTCTGATGTAAGTGAAAAATCATCCAATGGCTCAAATATGTATCATTAACATTTGATTGTTAAAGTGCTTTGTCTTTCTTTTGGGAGGAGGTAAGGGTACAGGTAGTTGAGAACTAACCAGAGTTATGACTTAAACGTTTTATTTCTGAGGCATTAGACACTGTTCAGAGGTAGCAGGATCTCTTGTGTTTATAACAGTATGCTTTTTTTTTGATAGATTTCTAGTAGATTGGTGATCTTAAAGTATAAGTATTAGTATAGCAGTAACATAAAAAAAATTAAGAAACCACCACAAACCTACCAAAATTTTCCCTGTGAGTGCTGAAGCCTAGGAAGTAAAACCCAAAACACAACTCTGTCATCTTGAGAACTCTTGCTGGGGTTAAGAAGAGAGGAGATAATTGGCGGTACAGATCGCATGCGTCAAGTGAAACCAAAACACCGAAGCACATTCCTTTAATGTATATTCACATAGGGCGAATACCAACATTCATGCTGACTAATGTGCACCGGGGAAGCTCCCAGCAAAAACACAGGCAGATATCTTCTGTGTGTGTGTGTTACGTCACTTGGTATTGAAGGTAACCAGGGCCTGGAGAGATGGTTCCTCAGTTAAGGGCTCTTGTTGCTCTTCCACAGGACCAGAATTTGCTTCCCAGCATCCTTGTTGGGGGCCTCAGAGTCACCTACAAATCCAACTCCAGGGGATTTAACGCCCTCTTCTAACTTCTGTAGACATCCACATGTATGTAGCAAATACACAAACACATACCCACAAATAAAAATATACGTATGTTTATTTTAAAGTTAAAGCTGACTAACCTTTACATGGTGAGCTCTGTTGTGTGGTAGAGTTCTGGTTAGTATGGATCCTTGGATCGGGGAAATATCAAGATTGGCAGATATATAGAGAAAGATAAATTGAAACCATACATTTAAAATCTACAAACAGGTTCAGTGGCAGGAAGTTCAGTAGCATGGCCTGTAGTTCACATATACGGGAGGCTGATGAAGCAGGAGGATTGAATTCAAGTTTTTGCAGCCAGTCTAGCCAATGTGACAATATCCCATCTCAAAAAACAACCAAACAACCAAACAACCCCTTCCTGGCCAAAAAAAACCCAAACCAAAACAAACCAAAACAAAAAACCAACCCCATAACCCACCACCACCAGAAAACTAGAAAACAAGAGATAAGGTTGGTGTTTAGTTGGTAGAGCAGTTGCCTAGCATGAATGGAGTCCTAGATTTGACTTCTAGCACCGTATAAAACTGGGGCACCTGTCTGTAATCCATACACTCAGGAGGTAGAGGCAGATCCCTGCGAGTTTGAGGCCA